CCCCCCCATTGTGAGGAATTTGAAGTGGGGAGTCGTCAACGTACGTCCTTAGGTGTGAAGTGCGAAATGGGTGTCTGTGCTAACTTGTGTCATCCTAACCCTTTCTGATTTGGGGCAGGGACAGATAGCCTTCCACCCGAAACACGGGAAGCCCGCGGCATGCTGGAGAGTTCTTCCCGGGAAGAAAGGAGATGGAAGACGACGCTGATTCCGATACTCCGAAAGTGACCGTCCGAATCATGTGCCTCAAAAGAGACCTTACAAGTAGTTTTCACGTTTCACTTGGGACATAAAGTGTTTTTTTGGGGGCTCCTGCTGAGCAGAAGTAGATTATAGAGGCAAAGGAGCTGATTATATTAACTTGCAAGATGATTATCTTCCTTCCTGAACTGGAATAAAAAAAGAAAAAAAAACAGTCTTTTTTCATTATGAGAGTAGATACTTATTGGGGTTTTTTGTGTGTGCGCAAATCCTGGTTTTAGTTACAAAACCTAGCAAAAGCCAAGAAAGGGACTCCTGCTCTATTGAGAAAAGTTAAAATAAATCCTCTCTCTCATACGTAGAGCTGTTCTATAGGTGGATTTAATGCACCCATGTTGTACATTTGCTAATGGCATAACTTCATTAAATGTATAGTGTTTCAGTACATGAGGCTACGTGTTTAACAGTCCACTGTGCTGTATCTGATAAAACCAGTTAATTTTTAGGAAGCTGATTTAAATTTAAAAGTAGTTATAGTATCCCGGTGACATACCACTGAAAATTAGAGCAAGCCAAACCCTGCTTTTCCTGATTTTGGAGCTTGTATTTATTGGCTGGGAAATGCAGTTTTGAGTAGCATGCTGGCAAGTCGTTTATGACTATGGGAGATAAGTGTCTCCCGGGGACTTTGGCAGCGGGGATTTTAAAATGTTTAATAAGTAGCAACAGCTTGTGTGTTGTGGGACAAGGAGGAGAATATTGGAATCAACCCTCTCGCTGTTTCTTACATGAGCTCGAATTAAACGGAGAGCCCAGTTGACTGTTAGCGGTGAAGAAGGGAGAGGTTGAATGGAAGTGCCCACTACAGAGGAGACCAAGTGCTTTAATAAGAAACTGCTGACAAAGTTACTCGGCATGCTAATGTAATTTGTATTCACATAACCTCTGTGCTCTGGTATTTGCAAGAGTCCTTGAAATTCAAGGGAACAAGGAGATGAGCTTAGCCTCCTCTTCCCTGCCTGAAACAGTCCTGTGTTAGCAGGGGCCATTCCTGCGGGCAGAGGTGTTACCCCACCTCTCGCTGGAGCTCCGGCTGGAGATGGCCAACCCTGGTCCCAAATAGACGTCTCTAGCACACTGACACCTGCATGTATCCTGACTCCAAGAGCTCTCACCATGTCTCTCTGGGAACATCTCAGTCGTGATTTTTGTTGTTGCTGTTGTTTTGTTCCATCCACTTCATTTTTTGCTTCCTGGTTCTGCAGAGAGATAACGCGAGACGTGTAAATCCATGCCAAGGCTGTTGTTTCCTTATTCGGAGCCCTACAATGCACCTGTGTCCCCAGATCCAGCTCTTCTGCACTCGTGCCACCACCACTGACATCCTCCAACGCAGCCTGATACTTCTCTGCAGGCTCCAGCCCCCAAGATAAAGCAGGGACGTGTGTTGGGCACGCACTCCTCAAGCAGCGAAACGTTGGCAGCCCCAGTGCTGTCGTAGTTTCCCTATAGATGCCGGCTGCCAGCTCTGTCTGCCTTGCCTGTCAGTTCCCAGGTGCTTGCCAGGAGGAAGGTGATGGGATGGAAATTCCCCCAACAGACTGTTTCCCCTCCAGTTCCCTGTCCCTAATACCTCGGGCTGCCTGGCCATACCCACGGGTACGGTCCTGATTTTCTGGTGGTCCCTCCTGCTTGTAGCAACGCTGATGATGCTGGTACTGTGTCCCGGTGCTGTACCCTGAACCACCCTTTGCAGCATGCAACCTTTATTACTTTGGCAGGAGTGAATCGCAGGCAGCTGGGCTAGAAAGGGTATCCAGCTCCAGCAGAGCCGGCTGGGAGGAGATGCGTTGGCCAGGCCAGCTCTGGGCTTTGGCAAGGGTGCAGTTGCTTTGGGCAGCTGCCTGCCAGGGATGGTTAAAAGGCCGTGGCATTAGCGCCTGCCTTCCTGGCATCAAACTCTTGGCAAGCCTTGGTTGGCCCAAGGATGCACTGGTGGGGATTAGGGGCAGTGTTAGCCAAAGCAGCAGTTGCCACCTACTTGAAGGAGTCAGCACCCTCTTCCCAGGGCTACCCAACTCCCTGCTTTCCCTGCCCTGAGTCAAACCAGGGACAAATCCTTCCCAGAACCTCAATCTTGTGATGGCTTTGAGTGTTTCAAACAGCATGCGTGGAGCAAAAAAGACCTGCAGGAAGCTGGGTCGAAAGGCATAAACCCCTGCTGAAGACCTGCAGTGCAGAGAGCTCGATGTGCATCCCATTTACACTACTCCCCTCCGAGCGGCTCCGAAGAGACGTGATGCTTCTGTATCCATCCCCATCCATGTGTTAACAATGCTAAGAGGAGTAGCACAAGAGTAAATGGGCCACCTTCCCAGGCAGCCAAGGAGAGGGATTCAAGTGTGAAATATTCCTACTGGAACCCTGCCAGCCTGAGATGGCACCTCTACAGCCTTACACAGACTCTTCAGGTTATTACATGAGCTAATGACTTTGAGGAGCTCACCCATGTTTTCAAGAGTCTTACGGTCCCGCTGCACACATTCGGCATGCCTAGACCCGGGAGCCATCCCGCTCTGTGCCACGCGGGTTGTATTTTTCAGCATCCTCAAGCAGTGGTGGGATGCGACTGCACCCGTCTGCCTGCTGGGTCCATGAGGGTCTTCTCCTGGACCTGCACCCAGCGTGGAAACTATGGACATTATGTCAAAAAAGGGGAAAAAAAAAAAAAAATATATATATATATGTAAAAGTATATATATGTATGTGTTGCTCTTTATCAAAATCTTTAACCAAAAAAATTAAAAGGGATGGCTGTCTAGTGTTGGGGACACGTTCCTGAATCCTCAGCCTCCGTGAAAGCTTTCCACTTTATCTAGATGGTAAAACAAGAAAAAAGCATTTTCAATCCCGAAGCCCTAAATTTCTCCCTTTGGTTAGTGAAAAATGTTTTTTCCACAGGATCTCAAGTGCATTCCCATGGAAGGTGCAGGAATAGGCAGCTCCTCGAGGGACTGCACTCCACTACCCACAAGCATTTCCACTCAACCGATGGCCTCAATCGCCCCTTCCTGGCCTCTGTGTTGCCCCATTTTCCCCCCCATGGGGCTGTGCCGTGGCTGCCCGACCCCGCTTGCTTTGTTTGTGGGCAGGGGCGTAGCAGATCCTTGCTCTGTAAGACTGGGAGGTCCTGGGTGCAAATCCGACAGCACTAATCCCCATATCCCATTGCTCCAGATGCTCTTTCAAAGGCCAGTTGCATGCCAGACCACCTCCAAGCGATAATGTCACTATTTTCTTAACTCCCCGAAAGAGGACTTACTCCTCCACCAAAAGGAGTTTCCTTTCAAAAAGGAGTTTCCCTTCAAAGGAGTAGCCTAAATTACTGTGAACTCCTGGGCTTGTCTCCAGTCTGAGGGGTGGTGGGAAGGATCATGGCCAAGGCTCACAACTCAGAGGAGAAAGTCCAGCAGTCTGGAGCAGGGGCTGCAGCTCCCATGTGAGCGGTGGGTAAGGACCAACAGCTCAAGCCCTCAATAGCTGGTGCTGGTACCAAAACATCTGAAGGAACAACGGTGATGGGACCAACTTGCTGTGGCATCCAGACACAAACCAGTGCCATAAGGGCTCTGCAGCTGAAAAACGTCCTGTGTGCTCAGCGCGAGGGGAGAGGAGCAAGACTAGTTTGGCACCATGAGAAACAGCACGGTGTTTGTTTCTTCTGAGTTCTTTATTTTATTTTGGGGTTTTTTTTCCCTTTCAACGGAAGATTGGAACTTGGAAAAATCATTTAGCAGCAGTGACCGGAGGGAATCACGCCGCTCATCATATCTTTGTCATCACAGCTGCTGATCAGAGCCACGATGAAAATGGACCAACTCTAAACAACACCAGGCAAGAGCCGATGAGATGAAGGTCATTAAGTGCCCCGATGCTTGATTCAGGTTTAAAAGACACAGATGATTGGGAGCGGTCCCTGAGACACCATTTGGCCGTAACTTAGAAACAGTGAGAGATCTCTGTAATGTATCTGTAGTTGCTTTATTGAGCGTAGGGATTGGCGTGAGATTCTGCTCAGTCTATTATACAGACAGCATCACCAGAATAAATCAAAACTGTTTAAAAAAAAAAAAAAATCTAATAAAGTACTTTTTCAGCTGTGACTTATAAGTGTCACCGTGATAGATGGCAGTGCAATCCATTATGCAAAGACAAGGCTCTTAACATGAAATTTTAGAATTCAATTTTACAATTTACAGAGAGGGCCCCCGTCGTATTTACGGCACAGCAGTCTGTTTTGATTCAATCTCCATGTAATTGAAACCAGGGCCAGGGATCTCAGTTAGTCCTACAGCCGCTTTTTAAATGGGGAGTAGAAATAAGCACCTATCATGTTAATAATGGAGCTGAAAAGATGGCTTTGCTCGTTAAACCTTATTCACTTTATCTTCTCGCTCTGGTGACACTGCCAAAACTGGGAAATATGGGTGCTGTGCCTCTGTGCCGGGGTTTGCTGGGATAAAACCTGGCTCCCATTTGGCCGGCAGCATCCTCCATCCCATTTTTACTTCCATTTTTACTCCTGTTGTTACAGTCCTCCACAGGACAGCAAATTTTTCAGCATCTTTTTTTATTATAATCACTTTTTTAATTACGATCACTAAATAGTTAGATATTTGAATCCCCCTCCATTATACTGAAGAATTTT